TCTCAGCAAGAAGGTAGAGACAGGAGAACAGGCTGGCACACGCTGTCCTTCAACATCCTCTAACTTCAAGGCAGGAGCTATGACAAACTAGTCTCAGGAGCAACAGAAATATCACCTTTACAAAATGTCTAAACAGAGCACACAAGAATTTCAGACCTTTGTAGTCTGTGTTCTCTCCTTTACACATGTTGCATGATCCCCAAAGGAACAAAATACCACACAGAGGAGCTAACTGTGAACTTGTCATCATGGCCTTTCTTAATTAGTTTCAATCAAGCTGCCTGCCCCAAATTAACTTCTTCTTGACTTGAAAAAAGTGACATTGATGCCAGCCTGCCCATCTGAGGAGGCTTATTTAGAAGAACTAAGAACAAATGCACAAAGAATAGCCAAAGTTCTTTAAACAAGAGTTATTAAAGACAAATCCCCTCAAGCCCCAACCTTCTGGCTCATGGATTCTCTTGCCAAAGAAAATTATTTTTCTATCAGATACTTTTGGTATAGTATATCACAAAAAAAATTAATGCTAGTCAATGAAACAATTCATGTATGCCAAGCCAGTTCAGGTGGTTTGGGGCTACAAAAATTTGCTGTTACCTCCTGCAGTAATCAGTCAAACATATAGAACATAAAAACATTAGCCAGTGCCTCATGTGCTCCAGTGTATACTTTGCTTAAAGGGTTTCAGAATGGTTTACTTGCCTAACTTCAGATAATTATTCAAATTATATTATTTTTCTACCACCTTCCTAGTAATCTAAAAAATTAAAAGCCCAATAGAATTGGATCTGGATTCACTGATGATCTTCCAAATTCACTATCGCCATGTCAGCAGTTGCACTCTTTTCCAATTCCAGTGCATATGGGTTATATTCTTCTTCAAGTTTTCTCTTCCAGACTTTAACTAGGGAATATTGGAATAAAAAAACCCAACAAAACAACAAACAAACAAACAAGAAAACAAAAAACAATGAACAGGTTACTGCATAATACTCGAGGGGAAAAAACTTAAAATGCAAAGTCACACTAATTCTCTACTTGCTCCTCAAAGTATGTGCTGAGGTAAGCTGGTACTGGGGCATGTTGGCATTTACACCACACAACATCAGATGACACAAAAAAATTCTTTAGGAGTGATGGGATCCACTGAGGTCCTTGTGTTCAACCCTCTACTCATTGAAGGCTAATCCTAAAGGTGGTTCCAACTTAAAATAACCCCAGAAGTATTCAAAACTTTCAAAGATTTGAATAGTATCTGCAATACCTGTCACTGTCTGGGGACAACTTAAGAGGACTTTTTAACTAGCAGGAATATAATAAGCAGCTCTGTTAAACCTTCTTGAACAAAGCAATGGGTACTGCCTACCACCAGGGGACTCCAGAGAGGAATTTTCTCTAACACTTTCTCACCAAGAGCTGACCTCAGATTTATAAAATCAGGGCAAAATAACAGAAAATAATTTCCCCCTTCCTTACTAATGACTAGTGTCAGATGTCATTTGTTTCTGTGAAAACTGTAGAACTGAAGAGCACTATAAATGAAAATGGAACAAAAATCAAGTCAATAAATACTTACTATAATTTGGTACATCCTCATCGGAGTCCTTGGAAGATGTTTTAACAGTTTCTGACAAGTCCTTTTCTTCAGATTCAGTGGTTAAGACATTGGGTTGGGTTTCTCTCAGTCCTGCTTTAGCTTCTTCCTCTAAAGCTGCTATCATATCTTTGTAGGCCTTTCTGGCCTCTGTTGTCAGCTGAACCATCCTATGAAAATGGTCCTATGGCAATATGAAACAGTAGGAGGGTTTATGTCATATAGTAAGTTTTAACATCTCTTTGAAATTCTGTAATGAATATTCCTTATTCAGAACATGTATGTTCATATATAAAGGTTGAGCAGCAGGCATGAAGAACACACCATTTATAAGCATTTATAAAACACCAGTTTTCTTGAAAAAAAAGTTCGAGAGAGATGAAGAGGATGTCAGGAAGAGACAGCAAAGTATTTTTCTGAACAGTACTGACTGTACTTCTAAAATCAGTTTTTCATATCAGCTATGACCTGTGATGAAGTGTGTATTAGTGTAAAAAAGCAAATCAGAGAAAACCTTAGAAATGTTTATCTCCCCTTCCAGATAAAAAATAAAGCAAACCCAGGAAGTGACATATTTCAGCTTACCTGAGCCCCATCATAGCTAAAAATTCCCACCACACTCACGGGCACTGCTTTGTTCACACAGCGGCCCAAGGCCTTGCGGTTGAGGGCGAAAACAAATGGGATATTCTGTTCACAGGCGCAGTCAATAATGTTGTGCAGAGTCTCATCCAACCCACCTGGAGCAGACAATACAATCAAGCTGATTGGAACTAAAGAACCATACTGTGAAGAGATGGCAAAAAATATCTCAAGATTACGGGAGCATACTGAAGTTACAGTTTACAAGAAAAAATACAGGGATCTCAACAGCAGCATTGGATCTCCATTTCTAGAGGAGAACTTCATATTTTTTTCTTAATTCTCACTTAGCACTGTCCATAGACTGGTACTATTGCATATTTTGTTATGAATGCAGTACAGTCTAATCTAGTATCAAAACCACATCCAGCTGCTATGAAATTATTTTCATTACAGTAATTACAACAAATACAATAAATTCATGACAGCAATTACAACAACTTTTAAGCAAACTATCACAGACAACTTATTGTCACTCTGTGGCTGTGCCACTTGTGGTAGCAGAGCTGGCACCAGCAACCTTTGCCTCTTTCAGCCATGCCAGAGCAATGTCTTCTGCAGAGGCACTGCAAAGTAGTAACTAAAGAGACCCTACTCTTAGGTAACTTCTTCCACCCCAGACAGCCTTGACTCAGCTCACACTTCAGCTGCACAGCAGTCAACAATCTGAACAAGGAAGGCAACTTTATACAGCTGGATTTCAAAGCCTACTCAAATTCCCCCAATAATAATACGGCTGCCAGTGTGCTGAGTCTGCTCTCCTACATTTCTTTCATTGAAACGACACTTTTTAAAAGAACTTATTTACCCTTTGACTGAATCTTTTCACAGTTAGGAGAGATGATGACACACTTCAATTTTTTCAGCTTCAGGTGTTTCAGAACTTCTCTAAGACCCATAACAAGTCTGCGCTTTATCTTGGCCTTTACTGGGTCTTTCTGGTACAGACGATCTTGGAAACGAACGAGCTCTTTTAGGAGATCTGTCACACAACTGTCAACTTCTTTACTAAGTACCTGGCTGCAGTAACTGGAAGACAGGATCAATTAAACATTAAAGCCCCTAAAATTACAAATGTGTAACAAATAAATATGTAATATATGTTAAATATGCAAAATATAGATTCAACTGCTATTCTCTTTGTGGTTTTTTTCCTATTTCCACTCCACTTGTTATATACATGAAAACAAAAATTTACTCAAGACTTTTTTCAGTGTCTGAGAACTTAAGAAGTTTTGTTACTCGTGATATCTGGCTCCCCTATCAAACTATACTAAAAATACATACATACATACATGTACAATAAACCTATAGATATATTTTATACCAATAGATATGTGTATATCTTCTTCTATGGAAGCATTCTTCTGAGGTCATATCTTTTGCTGTATACGAATCAAACTACAGCAATCAAAGTAAAAAATTCTAATTTATTTCTATAAATTCAAGACTACATATAACAAAGATGGAAAACTGGATCAAATTCCTCCTTCCTATGTTCATTTATTTGCCTGTCATCCAATTTTACTTATCAGACTACGTTTTTTTGTTCTCCATGAGGAAAAGACAAAAACCTACATACTTTATCCTTCTAGTACTCTCTGAACAGGGTTACAAATTATTCCCTCCCACCCCATGCCTTGCGCAAAGAATTTTTCAGTGAAGGGGGGTATCAAAGAAAAACTAAAGTTGTATAAAATGTGTGGTCAACAGAAAGATGGCAAGTGACAAACTCATGCAAGATTATGAGAAGAAATCACAAGCTCTATCATGGATCTTAGAGATAAAATAAACTTTGAAATCATTGTAAGTTACAACAGTTTTTCCAGCTAATTTCACTAAGTCCCAAGGACGAATCTACTAAAACGCTGCAAATCTAATTTAAAGACAGAAAATAATCTAAGCTTTGCTGAATGCTTTACATCCTGCAATGCACAAAACTGAGTTGCCCTGTACATATTCAACCTAAGCTGTGCCCTCAGTAAAACACTGCTGCATAGACACAAATGAAGTAATTTTTACTGCAATTATAAGTTGAATTTAGAGCGAACACAAAGAATGGATGAATCACTGTTAACCACTACTGTAACATGAACCACAAAAGTGCCAGTGGTGCCTTTATGGGAGGAGAGCTTAAAGTTATAACACTGCTTTCCTCAAGAAACTGTTTTAAGCTGTCATGACTGGATCTCTGACCTTTTCATATATAGTAATGACTATTTCTTCTTTTATAAGGAAACATATACACATCATCTTAAACAAAACTGGAAGTGTTTGCACATAGTAACTCATATATGCTCCCTTTTTTTCTCTGCCTAGACACAACATGAAAATGTTGTCTAGTTAGTCACATTCTTTACGTTTTTGCCATTTGGTCTTGCAGCAGAAAACCAAACTACATGCTGAAAATAAATTCTTAAATATTAAGTTGTTACTTCACTATTTAAAATAAAGTACTTGAACAGTAGTTTCTTTTCTTTTCCTTAACCTTTAATGAATTTCTGATATCTTTTTTTCTCCTTCGAGGAACCCGCGCTTTGAAGTGAGAATTATAACAAAGTATTTCTCTGCATATCATTTCTTTGTGTGTCAGCTTACAGAAAAACTGAAAGAAAATAACTTAGAGCCTTCACTCTAAACTCCAGTTAGTGTTGCAGAGAATGCAACTATATTACCTTCTATGAAAAACGCGTATCATTGGTACTGTGCAAAATCAGACA